CTAAGAAAGGACTCTAAAAACTGCAAATACTTAGTCATTTCATCAGTCGAGACTAGCTTCATACCATACTTCCAATCATCTTAACAATACATTTAAATGGTTTTTCGATTAACTATGAATGATGGAAATCTCACGACGAACAACCTGATTTTCGTCTATGTAGCTTGTAGAATATAAAATTTAATCAAAATGTTCACGGTTTGTTTCACTGCTAGATCGTATTTTTCACGAGTGCTTCTTGTACAACGATCATATACATGATGTCTACATGATCATCATGATCATATGAAGTGATGTCTGTGTGAATATTGTGTGAAAAATCAGAATGAATGGCAAACGAAGGGAAGATATATATTTCATAAAATGCGAGAGTTCTGGATTCAAATTCTGCTACAGATATTCCAAGAAAAATTTAAAGAGGTAAAAGAGTCTCAAATTAAAAAAATCCCGGACAACACGCGATCCCGGGATTTTTAAACTAATTTCCCGGAATTCGGAAATCCCGGTAAGCTCTAGTGACGAATAAATAAAAATCACACAAAGTTGCAATAAGTTTCAGCTACAGTGTGTGTTGGCGATTTTTTTTTTATTTCAATTCTGTGGATGTTTTTTTTTGTGGGTCTCGGAGGAACAGTTTTTGCATCGTTCATCAACGGTTGGATCTGAAGATTAATTTCTGTACAAATTCAACGATCCAATCTCTACAATCCGCAATAATTATTATTTAATTTAAATTTATTAGGCCGGAACAAATATCAAGTTTTTCTTTTGTCACCCCCCCCCCCCCTTCAAAATTTTGGAATAACACCAAGGGGGAAATAAAATAAAACTTTCAGTGTATATTGATTTTTCGCAAATTCTTTTTTTTTTTTTATTATAGTCACTTTAACCCTCTTGGGTCATTCGTGACTTGTCCGGGGGTGAGATTTGAACTCGTGACTTTGGCGTGAGAGGTATGGATGTTAACCACTACGCCGGGGTCGCCCCCTTTCGCAAATTCATTTGGGTATGGATACTCGCTTTGCTAGATTTTATTATGTTGTTGTTGTGGTTGTTGGCACATAAATTTGTACTTGACCAGTACGGCATGACAGGTCCTTGAAGTCGGATCAGCCGGTTTCAGTTGTTGAAAACGGATTTTATCGAACATCATTCCTAATATTGTTTGGCAACTCACTAGCTAAGCCACCTTCAATCTGCTCGATCCCTCTTGTTTGTTGCGCACATCTTCATCTTGTTCCAGTCGGATCACTGCCATGAATCATTTTCATTGGGTCGTTATCCGACATTATTACGATGTGCCCAGCCCACCGTAGTCGCCAGATTTTTGCATTCGATCTACATTTCTTAACTTACAAACCTTCTGCAATGATACTTAATGATTCACTTCTCTTCTACAGTGATTCAATAATTTCCGAGCTAAATCCAATCTTTTCAAAATTGGTTTAAATTTTTTAGAAGTGAGACCAAATCAGAAACGATTCAGGAAATTCTTAACTGAGGTGACACTTTTCAAAGCAGATTCAAAACTGATTCTGAACTTTTTTGAAGTGAGTTCAAACTTTCGAATAAGTCATCCATATTTTTCTAACTTTCCTGAAGTGATTCAACATATTCCAAATCCAATCTTTACAGAATTGGTTTCGCATTTTCTGAAGTGAGGCAACATAAGCTGATTAATCCTTTTCCTAAATGAATCCAAGGTTTCCTGCATTGATTCAACTTTTTCCGAACTGAAACCAAACTAGTCAGAACGGGTTTGATATTTTCCTAAGTGAGCTCCAGATTTTTGTTAACTGCTTTGGCATTTGGCAAGGACACAATCTTGCTTAGTGAAAGTGTAGAAAGTTTTCCGAAGTGAACCGACAATTTTTTTAAGCTTAAATTTTCCAAATGGTGTTCAACCTTTTCTGAAGTGGTTCAAAACCTTCCTTAAGGAGTCCAAACTTTTCTGTTGAGTGATTGAATTATATTTAATGTTAGTCTAAGCTTTCCTGAAGTGATTTACCTAACTTTTAACGAAGATTCCGCTCCTTTAGATCCCTTCCTCGTTCTTGTGAGATTCACATCCTTTGAAAATTAGGCTGAGATTTTAAAAAACGGACCTTCGTGTGTTCTACCTGGGGGTAGATTATTTTTAAAGCAAGCACAATTGTTGAGAAAACTGGGTTTACATCCACAAAAGTACGTATTTTCATAGAAATTTGGGTTTCTTGATCAGCCAAGTTGGATTTTGGCTACGTCCTTTGAAAAACAGTCTTGGATGAAGTAATGAAGTAATGAAATTGGGTTGTTAGCGGAATGCTAAATAAAACAGCAAAAAAGGTTATCTTCCATTTAATTCCACTTAATTAATTTTGGTATCCATGACAGATACGTATTTCGACTACAATGTGCAGTCTTCATCAGTGTCATTCCCACTAAAGAACTTATCAAAATCTAACCCCCTGCACATTGTAGTCGAAATACGTATCTGTCATGGATACCAAAATTAATTAAGTGGAATTAAATGGAAGATAACCTTTTTTGCTGTTTTATTTAGCATTCCGCTAACAACCCAATTTCATTACTTCATTATGATGGCTACCAAGCCTTTGGGGATTTTCCTTATTAGAAAGTTGTATAGATTTTTCTCCTTTAGCTTACTTAAATCTTTGGTTTTTATTAGTTAGGTAGGTTCCGATTCAACACATTGTAGTTTCATTTTTATACCTATGATCTTGACTTTTTTACCTAGGGGATGAGTACAAGGGGGTTAGATTTTGATAAGTTCTTTAGTGGGAATGACACTGATGAAGACTGCACATTGTAGTCTTGGATGTTATGGAATAGACCTTTGTGAGTTCATACGTGATGGTAGATTTTTTTGAAGTCAGGTTGGATTTCGGTTCAATCTTTTGAAATTTGTGCTTGGATTTTATAGAATGGAACTTGTTGAATACCAGAAGGATGAACCTGGTTAATATTCACAAAAGAAGGTATTTTCATAGAAAATTAATTTTTCTGTTTTTCCGAACTGAATTTTGGCTTCTATCTGTGAAAAATAGGCTTGTATTTTAAACTTCGATTTTCTGTTCTGCCAAGTTGAATTTCGGCTCCGATCTTTGAAAATAAACTTGAATTTTATAGAATGGACTTTGCTGAATCCATAAGTTATGGTAAATTTTTTGAAGCATGCACAATTTTTTAGAACACTGGGTTTGAATTCTCAAAAGTACGTATTTTTATAGAAATTCGGGTTTCTTGTTCAGCCAAGTTGAATTTCGGCTCATTCCTTTGAAAAATAGGAGTGGATTTTTCCGAATTGCTGAATCCATCCGTATTTTCATAGAAATTTGGTTTTTCGGTTCTGTCAAATTGCATTTCGGCTCATATCTTTGAAAAATAGGCTTGAATGGACATTGCTGAATTCATACGTGAAGGTTGAACCAGATTTGTCATTCGAAAAGGTGTTTTTTTTTGTTTTCCTTTTCTGCTAAGTTGGATTTTGATACTGTCCTTTGAAAGTTATGCTTAGATTTTATAGAATTGACATTGCTGAATTCATATGTGATTATTATTTTTTTTAAGCACACCCAAAGCCAGGTTTAAATTGACAAAACTACGTATTTTTGTTAAAATTTGGTTTTTATGTTCAGCTAATATGGATTTTGGCTCCTTTCTTTGAATATTACGCTTGGATTTTGTTGAAGAGGCCTTCCTGAATCCATACGTCTAGTTACATTTTTTGAAGCACGAACAATTGTTGAGAAAACTGAGTTAAATTAGGATAGGGAGGAAGTTCGAAAACAAATTTTTTTTTCGTTAGAACTGTTACGTTTGTGGTATTCCGCTTGATGGTTTATCCGGAATTTATCAATACCCAAAAATCAATTCCTTTGATCCTATTCATCTACATTATTACCAATGTTCTTCCTTGAAAGGATACAAAAACTTATGCGCGAAATGTCTTGTTGATAACTCGAGTGTTACACATAATAAAGTCAACATTTTTGGCATTAGTGTCAAAAATCACGGCTTCAAAGAAGTATAAGGCTAAAGCGGAGGCTAAGAAAAATGTTAGCGTTTGAAATATATGGTTTAGATATAATGTAAAACGAATTTTAAATGTTTTATTTTTTTTTTTTTTGGTTTATTTTTTATCCCCCCCCCCCCTCGACTGGTGCGAGCATCGAGTGACAAAAGAAAAACTTGTGATTTGTTCCGGCCTTATACGTTGTATAACATTTATCCAAGTATGTTGTAGAACAGTTAAATGTAAAGATTTTCCTAATTTAAAACGCCCCAGATTCAGACAGTTGCTGCACTTGTAGCAGTAGTTGTGATGATGCCACCAATCCTTGTTTACAAACATTCCCGAATAAAATGCCTGTTTATAAAAAAACTTAAATGTCGCGTTAATACTAAATTGTTGACTAATGCGCTCAAACATTTCCAAGCATATATATGGACTCATGGCATAAGATTCTTTTTGCTTATAAATCCAAAGCTTGTCTGTTCCCAAAAGCTTTCCATTCCGGACATGGACGCTCTGTTTTCGTTCCGCTACTGTACTGATGTACATTCGTTGGTACTGTTGTTTGGTAAATTTCCAGAAGATTTTCTACTTGTAGCAATCCCACTGCTTTGCAAAGTCACCCTTGGATGGAATCGTTCTAAAGTAGAATCTCCATGCTTTCACATAGAAGCTTACCGTTTCTACTGTATTTTGTTCGGTTGCCTACCAAAGATTTGTGTGTGTACCCATGCACCAGCACTCTAATCCAAGAGTAAAGTTCTCGGTATCAACCTTCACGATTCCGTTAGGTTTTGGTTCGTTTCAGCTCAGCCATCCATTCTTGAGTCGAAAGCGGAAGAAGAACAGCAACGTTCCAAAAAGTACCCACCGTAATAAATCACTTCAGGTTACATACCCACCTTCCCACAATGTTGTCGTGTTGCACTGCACAAACGTGGCTTTTCGAGTTTACATGAGCTTCTTTTCTATTATGTGGTTTCAGGTGAGCGAGAGTCTGGAGTGACGATAATTGTACACCATCAGAGGACGCAAGAGGAAATGCCAACTTGGAGTACCATCATCATGCTGTGATGCAGTTCGTGCGAGATTATCAAGACGTGCTGCCAAAGGTGAAAGTGTAACTGTAAGTAAGTTGAATTTATATTTTTAGTTAAATGCAGAACCAACCCACATCGATGGAATAGTTGTTCTGGAAGCTTGCATTACTATTGCTACTGCATTTCTCTATTCCAATTTACGCTTCGCTTCGCAAACATCGTTTCGGGTCGGACCTGGACAAACAAATTCCCACTCTGCATATGCTCGCTCGTCTTGGATGCCAACTCGAATTTCATCCCAGTGCAAATATTTACATTCCAATGCAAGTTCCAACTCGGCCACTCAGTGCTTCGAGTCTCGGTTTCCCAGCAACAAAGTAAAGACCCTAGAGATCGTCTCTTGTTTGAATATCTCACTAGCATGCCGAAATTGATTGCCTTCTTCTTCTGGATGCCTGTTCTATGCCCATACAGTCAAGATCGCTGAGCTCGTTTGCGGGTGCTGACTCGCTCATTACTGTGGGGGCCTAGGCCATCGATCTTTAACTGTACCTACCTCTACGCTTTGATCGGCTGTAGAAGTGAAAATGAACCGCCATGAGGGGGAAGCCCAAAACAAATACTCCACCATGCCCCGTCCCCCCCCCTTGTCCCACCATTATCCGCAGCTATTGTTGAAAATCGACACGGTTCCGAGCAACTTTGTACAAGGAATTTTTCCCTGCTTTTCCATATGGATGCATAAACAGAAAAGTTAACAAAATCAATTACCAGAACTTGCTGGGCTCCAACGCCAACCGGGAGAAGAAACGTACAAAACTCGTAATAGGTAAAATAGCATAATCGTTGGGAAACTGCTCTCCGGTCTACCGGAGATATAGAGAGTGGGGAGCAGTGCAAGCAGCTTCGATGGACGATGTTTGTCCGTTTTCAATGGAAATAAGCGAGTATGAGGAATTGCTGGGGTCTGGCACCGGATTGTAACATATGCCATGAGTTATAGTTTTTCCATTCCGAACAGGAAAATACCGTCTGAGAAGGGATTTACTCTGATTCCATGATAACGAGTATCGTCAGCTGGCAAACTGATGGGGATATTTGACTTTATTATACTATCTGTGGGGGTGCAGGAGGATTTCTCGTTATCTGTAACTTGAGCAATAAAGTAGATGGTTATAAGTTGGTAATTTTTCGTAGAAATATGCATCATTGGAGTAAATGAAATTTATAGACAATCAGAAGGCACGTAGGGGAAATGGCTCTATTGTTGGCCTATGGATCTAAGATTGGACACATCGCTAAAAATCTGCTATTTATTAATTTTAGCTAGATGAATGCATCATTGGGACGGAGAGGATCGTAGTGTGCTGTGCTCGAAGAAAGACATGGAAAATTTTCAGCCGTCAATTTTTGCTCCGTTTTTTCTCCAATTTGTGAAGTTGTAATTAGATTTCGCTTATGCTCCCGCTCCACAAATTTGTGGCATCGCAAGTGATAGTTTTTAAGTTCAGTTTATTTATGCGTTGTATGATTTTATGAGCGGTTGCTTCGTGTTTGCGTCAAGGAGCAATTGACTATATTAAACCTGAGGATTGATCCCCGTAAGGCGGGTCTATGATCGGAACTACTACACCAAACGTGACAGAGCTGCTTGCTAAGGATTCACTTGGACTGATTTGGTGAGATTGTTCCTTTTTTTTTCTTTTATCTATTTAAACTTAATGTCTATGAATCCGTAGCATTTGGAATCATTTGATTCGGATGAGACTTAACTTTCATCCTATGGATTTTAGACATCCAATTTTTTATACATTATACAATATACATTTTATATCGGTACTACGTGTATGCGGGGCGTGTTGTAAGTTCATGCATTGTTTCTTCTCATTGTAGACAGCGAATAACGAATAGCGAGCAAGGGCGCTATAACCTAGGCGAATACAGTATTCCCTCCGTATAGGTTACGTCCGCACACCGCTCTCTGTTGTCCTTCGACTGAGGTCGGCTGGATCGATTGAGGGGTGGTAGTGGGTGGGCGGTGCCGTCCACGCTTGTACGGAGGGAGGACTGTACGCTCGAACACAAGGGGTAAATACCTGTGTTCCATCCCAGGAGATCGGACAACCAAGGAGTGTACATTAACTTTCTTAGCTCTGTCACTCCCAACGATTTATATAGCCTATTTTCAAATCCTGCATACGGAGCGGTTGGTACGGTATGTCCCCGCTCTTTGATTACCTGTGGATTAAATGTTAACCACTGTCTATACTTATTAAGTAGACATGGTAAACATTCACTTCCACAAAAATTAACTAAACGCTACACAGTAGGCCTGGCCGCTTTATTGTTTGTTTCACATCCTTGATGTGCAACAGGCATTAATAATGACAAGAAAAATGATAGATGTATCATTTTCCAGGATTCTTTCAAGTACTGGCTGTGTATGTGTAGACTAGACTAGACTAGACTAGATGAATGCATCATTGGGACGGTGCTTAAGGATATTTTTGGTTACTATTGAAAATGTAGTCGATTGCTATGGGAGATTATGTATGGGCCCAAATTAGGGGCACTTAGCCAACATTACATCCTATTCCCCTATATCAAAAGAGTTTTATGCGAACATACACACCGACGAACCAATTTTTTGTAATGCAATCTAGCTTCCGGTTTTGTATGTTTATCCATTTTTACATAAAGAAAATGAAGCCAAATACAGACGTGAAAAGTTGAATTTGATTTCACTAACGATTTGATTTCGTTTCATTTAAAAGTTAATCCTTTAAAACATATCAGATTGACAAGTCTTACGATTTCATCCTATTCAATTTGTTCTTCTATTTTGAAAATATGCATCATGAGATGAATTCTATTCTTATAAGCGATTTTGATTTACAAACTGCAGTAATTACGATTCTATCTGTGCATTGTTATTCGTTTTCTAGTTGCCTGTGGAGTTAAAAAAAAACTACAAGGGACAGCCCCTTGGAGTTGTACGCAACGGTGACGTAGGACTACGTGGTTTTACATAATAAATGTTGTTTGTTAACTGTAACAGGAGCTTATTTTTTGTGTCGGTATAGGAATTTGAGCGGGGTTCTCTCTGTTTATACTCTTTAGTATGACTATGATTGCCCTGAAAAGAACCTTTTGATATGATTTTTTGTTGGGACATGTTCAGAAACTTAACTCTTCTGCAAAATCTTGGTGGCTCTGAAAAAAGCCGATGGTAGTACATGCTTAAAGCCTTTCGAAGATGATCAGAAAATCGGACCGCACGATCCCATATTCTTCGGTTCAATGATCGGGCCCTCGCAAGAGTCTCGGCCCGTCTGCTGCTGGACAAGGGTTGAACTGGTGTCTGCGACAGGTTGGAAGGCCGCAGAATACCAGTGTCCACCCAGCTAAAGCTCCTACCCTTTTTAGGATTTCTCGTTAAACTCCTTTTCTCAACAAGTTAGTAAATCTTAGCCTTTAGCCAAGGCGTGGTCACTCTACACACTTATTGTGTGCCAACTTTTTCTCAGTGTGCCGCAGCTGTGCTGGCAGTGCCGAGATGTCTTTTGTTTGCTTGAATAATGACTTGTATGGCAACCCGGTATTTTGATAGCTCTTGTTTTTGTTTTGTTTTTCGAAGCCTGAGATGGAGTACACAGCAAAAAAATTATTTTAATATCACATCAAAGTGGATGCACTTCAATGGTGTCGAAAATATGGTGTAATATTACTTGCCAAAAAGGACAAAATTATCATTAATACAGTGCATGAATTGACATTACGCTGCTTTTACTGCATTTGTTTATTGTTGTGGCCATAAAAATTACATGAGATTTTCGACATGATTGAAGTGCATCCTCTTGGATGTAATATTAAAATTTATTTTCTGCTGTGTAGGTACAACATTTCCATTCAGAGATATGGACTTTGTGGGTGGATTTTTACCAAGACGGTCCTGGTTGGTGTATCAGCAGCAGTAGTAGCCTGAACAGACCAGAGCTGGTAAATATCACGGCCGTCATATGACAATGAGAAAACAGGTTCTCTCACTATCACGAGACGAAACTACCTATCATGAGCGTTCTTGTCATTTCCCAATGTTCATACACTCATGAGAATAATTTGCATACAGTCTTTGAATCAACATTTCTAGCAAATTTAGATAAATTTAGGCAAGCAACAGATTACATTGAATGAACTTACTCTTAAGAATGTCGCGGTGCATATAACAATAATATCAATAAATGAGCTACACCGTACGAAAAATTCATGTAAATATAGCGCACATAATATTTACGCTAGATTTGGCATAAATTTACGCGATATTTCGTGTAAATTTAAGCGCAATATCACATAAATTAGCAAAATTGTATGCAAGCTTGTAAACGATTTCACTGTTTATGCCAAGTATAGCTCAAAATTAAACAAAGGGAGATTTTACGCGATAGTTAAAATTCAGAATTTTTTTCTGTGTAACTCGTATAGCCGTGGCCGAGGCTGGAAACCTCGATCCGGTCACGACACCACTGTCTGGTGTTCTTTGTCTTCTGTTCATCTAATGAATGGATAGAGCCCAGATAATGAAATGAGAACAAGACTGCCATCACGAGAGTCTGTGTAATGATTTTCATAACGGAGCTGAAGGATATCATGAACCCGGGAAGGATGATAACTTTGGGTAATAAAAATGAACATTTTTCCCCGAAATGTTGGGATTTTGCAGTGTTGCTATACATGCGATTGCACTGATTTGTTCATTCTGGGTGGTCGGAATGATTGTATGCAGTCCGGCGCGAAAAGATGTACCTACTTCTTCGAACAGGCATCAGAATGTGCGCAGACAATTCGATCTAGGAGAATCCTAGGAGAAATGATTTGAGAAAATTGGATTGTCTTCTGGCAACATCAATAACAAATTTTGACACATGCACACTGCGCAGTCGCAGAAAAAGTTCAGTGTTGCCAGTAACTTTAAAGATCAGGCAAATTTTGACCATGGGTGCCAAACAGTGCCAATGACTGTGTCCAGATGTGTTCAAGCTTGTTTTTGGCACACTGGGCGGAGTGACCAACGCCTTGCCTTTACGAGAAAG